ATAAAAATAATAATAAAAACAAAACAAAACAAAAATTGCACATCAAGCATTTGTGTTCAAGAACCTCAGGCAAATGGGAGAGCTCTCGAGGCCTGGAACCCCTCTCTGTGTTGAACTGCTGTGAGGACTTATAGCCTCTCCTCATGTTAAGTGATGTTGAAGAAAAGAAATAAATCAGACAGCTCAGTTAAAAAGACATAATACTATATTCATCGTAGCAAAGTCGGGACTGACGCACAGCTGACCCTCCAGTGGATTGTCAGAGGCTGTAAATCTCACAGGAGGTGATTGTCCATCTTCCTTCTCCAGAGGAACTGGTGGATTTGAAGTGAAAGGACTTTACTCAACTAAAAAAACTCATCACTGGTTGAGTTGGAACCAGGTCATGGTTGACCCTGGACTGGGTTTCTGAGCCTGTAAATTGTACTTGACGTTGCTGCCCATCAACATCAAATTCCTTGGGTTTGAACTGCCTGAGAGGAGCGGCCATCATTGGTTGGTCTAATGCCCCAGTCTTCAGAAATCCCCTTTCATCTGTGTCAGGTGCCCTGGAGTCCAGAGATGCTGTTTTGTAATCCTCAAGGTGTGTGTGTGGGGGAAATCAAAGTCAAATGGAAAAAGAGAAACAATAAAAGTTTTTTCTCAGGTAGGGCAAGGGAGTTGTCAGAAGTGTTTTATAGATAGTATATGTTTGCTAATGCATATATCTGATGTGTTTTTATCACCTAGATGGAGATATAGTGTTTTTTATCAACCTAAAAGATCCCTGTCCCTTCTCAGTAAAAACCCAACAACAACAACAACACAACAAAACAAAGCAACAAAATCCCAAAAATACTCAATCTCTCTCTATGAGAATCACTATCCTGAGCCTTCAGCGTGGATTAGCTAACTATTCCTGAGGTTTTGAAGTTGAATCAAACAATGCAGACTTTTTGTGTGTGTGGTTTCTTTCACTCAACATAATGGTTTTGAGACTGATATATGTTACTGAGTTGATTTTTTATTGTTGCACAATATGCCATTGGATAGTTTCTCCCTTCTGTTGATAATTCGAGGGGTTTCTAATTCTTTGTGTATTATTTTGTATCTTGCTCCTTTACTCCCTGTTGTTTGTGACATTCATCTATGTTTTTGTGGGTAGCAGTAAAGTGTTCATTTCCATCGCTATTCCATTGAAAGAATGTAATACCATGTTTTTAAACTTAGTTGTTTCGTGTTTATTACCAAAATTACTACTGAAAAAATTTTTGTCTGCCATAGTACATGTGTGTAAACTTTCTCAACATTATGTACTTGATGGCAGCTTTGTGGGATCACAGACTATAGATATCTTCTTCATTCTTAATTGCCACCTAACAGTATTTCAAAGTGGTTATACCAACTTATTC